AAGTGGTGTGTTCCAGGATATTCCAATAAAATTTCCCTTGTGGACAGTCTGTGATGAAATAGAGAAGAGGGAGTCAAGCTATTGTCCAAAGCACCTAAAGGCAAGACAAGAAGCAATGGATGGAAACTAATCAAGGAGAGAAGCAACCTAGAACTAAGGAAGAATTCCCTGACAATGAGAACAAATAACCAGTGGGATGACTTGCCTCCAGAAGTTATCACTGGAGGTTTTTAAGAAGACATTTGTCTGAAATGGTATAAGGCTTTCTTTTTGAGCAGAGCAGTGGACTAGAACAGGGCTTTTCAACCCTTTCACCCATTGTACCACTTTTAGGATATGGCAACATCCGAGTACCACCAGTCGCCTAGCAAGGTGTCAAAAACTTGATCAAAAAAAAAAAAAGGAAAAAAGTGATAAAGTACAGGTAGCCCTCGACTTACAACAATTCGCTTAGTGACTGTTTAACATTACAATGGCACTGAAAAAGTGCCCCCCAAGCCACAGCTCGGCAAGACACCTGCCTGCCCACCCAGCAGCACTCTTCCTCCTGTCCGAGGTTTTCATTGTTGTGAGCATTTCTGTTGAGGATTGGCAGCAAAGGTGGGGTGGGGGGTGTTTGGTTTTTATTCCCTCTGCCTGCTGGGTGGTTGCAGCAGGTTTTGGTCTCTTCACATGACCCTGGGACACTGTGACCATCATAAATATGAATCAGTTGCCAAGCATCAGAATGTAAATCACAAGACCCTGGAGATGCTACAACATTCCAGCTGATCGGCACTTCTTCTGGGCTCAGCAGAAGGACCAGGATCAGTGCTGCTTTCCAGGTGATTGGTGCTTCTTCAGGGCTCAGCAGAAGCACCAGGATCAGCGCCGAGCTCCTGTTGAAGACTGGCCCTGATCCTGGCACTTTCACTGAGCCCTGACAGCCCCAAAGAAGCGCCGATCAGCTGGAAAGCGGCACTGATCCTGGCGCTTCCGCTGAGCCCTGACAGTCCTGTAGCTCTAGCCATCTCTCGCTCATGCTTGTGCGGTACTGCCACCGGTTCAGCTCATTCCCCTCTCCCGCTACCACTTTTCTAGGATGGTCGTGTACCACCTGCCAGGTGCCAATGTACCACAGGTGGTACCTGTACCACTGGTTGAAAAGCCCTGGACTAGAAGACCTCCAAGGTTCTTTCCAACTCTGTTTTTCTCTTATTAACAGAGAAGTTCTTTCAGAGGACATGTTCAACATTGGTTTTATTGTATGCTAACCAGAGTCACCTTGTGTGAGACAGGTGGCTATATAAATTTAATCAATAAATAAATTGGCAACCTGCTTAGGACCACTTCTATGGGACTGCTCCCTTCTGTTCAGATGCTGGCTCCATTCTTCCATGACCATTTTGTTAGGCTTCACACTTTGCTTGCACAACCTTTTCTTCTTTTTAGGGATTCAGACTGAACGTGAGTTTTTCAGAACATTAATTTTCCCTTTAATATGTAAAAATAAAGGTTCTTTATTTTGCATGACAGCTCTCTTCACCTGTTATAGACTTAGTTTCACTGTGGTTTTTATCCTGAGAGTTAGAAACATTTTTTTTTCAGGATGGGGTGACGGAGGGTTAACTTCAGTATTTCTTACAGCTAGAATTTTTTGAAGATCATTACAGGCATATGATTCTTAACCTTCTGATGAAAAAGATTCAAAAATTGTTCAATTCCTTTATTACTTTTATTAGCTTATATTTATTTCATATTGTCGGCACCAAATGATTCTTCTCCTTAATTGGAGACTGACAACATTTCATCACATAGCTGTACCTGATTTGTGAGAACTTCAAAAAAGAATTGGTCTGGAAAAGGCTGGTCCATAATTTTAATGAAAGCCATTGTTGAATGATGAGCCTACAAATACTCTTATTACATCTAGCTAACCTTGATGCCTCTAGCAACTAGTTAACCTTGATGTGGCTTGATTTTTAAGCAGGATCAAGTTTGGTTAGTACTTGAAAGGGAGAGTACAGATTATGAAGGCTGGGAAGTCAGCTTGTCAAGAAAATGGCATGGATGAGTCTATTAAATCACCAATATTTGAGATTGACCTGAAGGAGATCTTCCCTTTATGAACTATTTCTTATAATATTCTGCAGGGGGAAAGTGTATGAAATCTATCATATAAGAGCTTACTTGCTGAGTTGGTCTTATTTATTTATTTATTTATTTATTTATTTATGAGACTTATATACCGCTTTAAGTGCAAGCACTCTCTAAGCGGTGTACACCAGTAAGCAATGTATATATATATTTACATTGCCCCCAACAATCTGGGTCCTCATTTTACCTACCCTGGAAGGATGGAAGGCTGAGTCAACCTTGAGCCGGTGAGATTTGAACCGCTGACTTGCTGAACACAGTCAGCTAAAGGGGCCTGCAGTACTGCACTCTAACTGCTGCGCCACCTCGGCTCATGAGAATTTCACATGTTTATTTTTATATGTGTGTTTGTGAGTACCCTACAGATACTTCGTAACAAATTAAATCGATCCAGGGCAGTACCCAAACTCAATCAGAATTGAAGTCTTATACATAAGAGCTACTTAAATTAATTTGCTATTGCTTTTTAATTAATAACACTCAGAGACAAATAAAGCAGAACACAAAAATAATAGTGATGGTGATTGTCAAAGAGGGGGAAAAAAACCACATGAAAAGTGCTTTAACAAAAAAGGGGAAAGAAATATGACAAACAAGAAAATCTTATACTTAGCAAGTTTTGGGAGAAAGTAGTGGATTACTTAAATATGGCTGTGCAACAAAAGCTACAATTTTCAAAGGATAATATTCTTTTGAATTACATACCCAGTGCATGGAATATGACAATCGGACAATGGAAATGGATTTTCTGTGCTCTTACTATGGCTAAAAGTCTGATATTGCAGCATTGGAAATATAAAAGTATAGCTTCATTTATTCAATGGATTGAAGACTTGATTGCACTTGCTACTCATGAGCAGATTGCCTATAACACAGACTTTATATAGGCAAATATAATGAAATATGGAATTCATTTGTACAGAATACAGTAGGTTTTTAAAAAGATATAAATGTATTAGGAATATATAGGTACTTGAATAATATTTGCACTAGACGAGTCTATATAGAATTGAAACTATTGTTATAATGACATATCAGGTTACATTTACTTTTTTTCTTTGTCATATTTCTTTCATAAAGAGCAGTTTAAGACTATAATTTCAGACTGGGTTTGCATTGCTACATTTTCCTTCCATATATAACAACCAGAATGTTGGAAAGATTAAAAAGATCCTTGGGGAGAAAAAAAAAAAAGCTTTTGTAAAAGTATGCAAAACCATGGGATTAATGATTAAGATACAGTACGAGATGGGAGAGCCATGGAAACTCAGTGGGTGATTTCAGTCCCACATACTTCATAGGACTACTGCTATGGGAAAAAAATAGAGGGGCAGGTTGTTTAAGCCATTATTAGCCAGTAAGGAAAAGGTGGTTAAAATGAGAGAGAATGAAATGGCAAATATCAACATATGGATCCTGCAATATCAAAATAGAATCTAGATTCCTGGTGGATTATCTTGGCGGAATTCTCAGCAAGATTAACCAACACTGGTTAGCAATAAACAGTTGTTTTTTATACCTATCCCAGAGTTTGATTGTTTTTACACTTTTGATATGAATACACATGGGATTTGCATTTTTAAAGTAATTAGAGACAATATATATATGTGTGTGTGTGTGTACATGTATATATTTACATTTCAAGTTTACAATTGGGAATTGTTATATATATATATATATGTGTGTGTGTGTGTGTGTGTGTGTGTTTTCTGAGGTTTTTGCGGGTGTTTGTAGGTTGTTCGAGTTTTCTCCCGCATAAAATTGGAAGTGTCTTGGCGACGTTTCGACGAAGTCCCATTCGTCATCTTCAGGCTGGTGTTTTCAGCTTCGTGCTTCGAGCAGCACGATATGTATACACACACACACACACACACACACACACACACACACACACACATATATACAAATTTAAAACAGATTTGTAAATAGTTGTTTTATTGTTTTTATTGTTTTAACAATAAACGGCTGGTTTATATTCATCCCAGAGTTTGTGTTGTAACGACCTGGGTAATGGGTTGTGTGATGACATCCTGAGATCTAGTGTAATGATATCCTGAGTTCTGTGTTGCACCATCCTGGGTGCACCACCCATTACCCAGGTCGTTACAACACAAAAGACTAATGGGCACACAACCAGCACTTCAACTACTCAGGATGTTACAAAACAGCCAAACAATCCACAAACAATAGCTAGAACTAAGGAGAAATTTTCTGACAGTTAGAATAATTAATCAGTGGAACAACCAACCTGCCTCCAGAAGCTGTGAATGCTCCAACACTGGAAGTTTTTAAGAAGAGACTGGACAGCCATTTGTCTGAAATGGTATAGGGTTTCCTGCCTGAGCAGGGGATTCGACTAGATGACCTCCAAGGTACCTTCCAACTTATTACTAGTATTACTATTATTATTATATGCACACACATAAACATATATACATACATACATGCACACATAGATAGCATTTTTGCTCTGTGTCCAATACAAATAGAACAATTATGCTTACTATGATGATAAAAGATAAAATTCTGAAAACTTGGGCTGTTCAGTTTGAATGATTTTGTAAATGAATGATTTCCTATTTCTGTTTTTGTTGTTCATTTCACTAGCTCAGGATCTTATTTTGCTAGGGAGAAATGGCATATTTTCTCCCACATAGCTCATGGAAACAAAAGCTCCTTTTGTACATATTAGTTTGCTTAACATCACATATTCAAATGGCTTATTGATTTAATCTATTTTCCAGATTTGCAAAATGCACTGAATCATAAACTAACCAAACCACTTTCTGGATTAACGCAACATAAGCCATATGACAGTAAGCCAGGCTAACCCTTCCCAGATTAACGAGCAAGTGGTGTGAAGGAAGTCGCTAAATGACTTGATTAAATGTGCAGTGAAAAGTGAGCCAGTGCATATATTATACCAAAAGCAGACATACAAACCTGAATATGTAGAAGGTAGGTTGATATAGTGAAAAAGGCAATACAACATTCAACTTAACAACCACACCCCCTAGCACAACAATTCACACATTCAACAGGGCTAAATGATAGACCGGGGCATCCACTGGGAGATATCTAAGAAGGTCAAGATTTATCAGGTATAAACAACCAGAACCACTTGTGAATAGTCTTAAGCATCAGCTTTATTTTTAGTCACCTATGTTACAAGAATCTCTCCAGATTAACTGCATTCCCTTGAAATGGTCAGATGAGACTTCAGGGATTCTGGGGCAATAAGGTCTGCACCATTTTCAGCAGTGCAAGGATTCTAAACTCAATCCTTTTTTTAACACCTCCCTCCAATCTAGCTGGAGACTCCACCACTAGATGGTGACCACAGCCATGTGACTGAATCCCTGCTCTTTTGTACAGCTATGCAATACAACTTTTTGTACAAAATGAAAAGGGCTTCATTTTACCCTCGAATTTCACAAAAGTTGGAAGGTAAGCACCCTAAGCAAAGGCTTAGTTTAATTCTGTACTGTACGAAGTACTATTTTTCAATTACCATTTTTTTATTCTATAGTTGAATAATTCAAACAAGTTGACCTATGTCAAATTCAGCAATTTGTAATTCAGCCTCAGAAACATTTAGATTAAATATTTTATTCTCATACAGCCAATGAGAAGCAAGATGACAGCAAATCTGAAGGTTATAAAAAACAAAGGACAGCAAAAAACAGACCAGCAAATAAACAAACTGCAAGGCAGTTTTTTTTAAAAAATAGCACAGGTTCTTGAATCATAGTAATTGCTGAAATCTTTGATAATGGCTTCCTACTTTATTTATCTGTAACCCCTGAGTTTCTTCAGAATAGGCCTAAGGGATTTATTTCTTCCTATAAAGTGAAAGGATATCTAGAGATATTGCTATGAAGATTCACTTAGCAATGTTCAATAAATCTTGGCACTGTTTAATCAATCCATTCCCTCCACAACCTATTGTTGAATGGCTATGTTCACAAACACACTTAACCTGATCACTGAATAAATCCATTCCTGAAATTGCACGATACATTTTGGCACTACAGCTAAGCAAATAGGATGGGTTTGCACAGCGCGCTTGACAAAGATACATCTTCCAAGTTAACACTAATCAAATCAATATTGTGTGGATGTTCCAAGCAGATCTTTAATGGACTTGGTTAAATGCATTTTTATAAACACAGCCTAATTTCCTCCATAAAAGACCAGCATTATCTTTGCAAAATGTACTTCTGGAAAAAGAGCCATTATCAAACAATAAAATTAATGCAGAAAGGCAATAAATAAGCCATTAAGTAGAAATATTCAGTGGCAAATAAATTGATAGAACTCACTTGCCTATATATCGTATACAGTGATGCTTAGAAGTTTGGGAATCTTTTTGAATTTTCAGTGTTTCACATCTGGGATAAAGGTCTTATGATGGAAGTGTTTGCCTTTTGCCAAGCATAGCACTTCTCATCCAGCCAAAATATTCTATTTTAATGTCATTGGTTCACAGAACATTCTTCCAATGCTTTTCTGATATATCTGCATGATCTTTTGGAAATCATAGATGAGACTCAATTTTCTTTTTGGAGAAGAGTGACTTTCTCTCTGCAACTTGGCTCTACAGCCTATTGTTGTTCAGTGTTCTACTAATGATAGTCTCATGAATATTGACATTCACCAATATAAGAGAAGCCTTAAGGTTTCCTAGATATTACTTTTCTTTGAGTCCTCCTGGATTATTATATGTCTTGCTCTTGGTGTGGTTATATTCAACCAGTTCTGTATTGAATTGCTTCCATTTATATACAATTTGTCCGACAATGGTGGAAATACCTGTGAAGTCTCCTTTATTTGAACCATGACATGTTTCCACATACTTGGGTTGTGAAAATCAAACTTTGATAATGAATATCCAAAATTTTGTTCTTTAAACAAGGCAGGATCCCCTACACTCACACTTGTTCATTGGAACACCTGACTCTAATTTCCCCTTCAAATGAAGTGATAATCTGAGAGGTCTACATACTTTTATCGTGCATACATATGTAGCTTTGGATCATTTCCCTCAATAAATAAATGAGAAAGTAAAATATTTTTGATTCATTTGTTTAATTGGGTTCCCTTTATCTACTTTCAGTATTTGTGCAGAGAGCAGATCATATTTTAGAATATTTCAGAAATATTGAAAATTCAAAAGGGTTCACAAACTTCTACACACCTACAGATATTCAACAGGTCATTTCTATTGATGTATATTCTCACAATGTGAAAAAAAATCTTGCTGTCGAAAATGAAACATTATTAATCATCCAATGCATGATAAATATATGGTAGTTGTATGTCATCTTCCACTGATGATCATTTCTGTCCACTGATTTGGTTAGAAAATTTGAAATTACCCCTTAAGCTATGATTAAAAAGTGATGAGAAAAAGATACATTCCCTCAGTGAAAGAGACATTTTATCTAGCTTTGGACCCAATGTGGCTCTAAAGTCTTGCTTTCCCCTATTCTGAATTCCTTATTTTTGGCAGAAGATTCATATTCCAATCTACCTGATAGACGTTTTGCTGTAGGGATAAAATGAAAAATACCTCCATAGAGATATTTTTCCTCATTTCCTTGAGCCCCTATAGAACAGGTGAAAGATAAACACAGTAATAAATAAAATAAGATATTTTTGACAACATCATCCAACTAAAAAGGAGGAATATACCATTTACCTGAAAATGTCTGCAAGATCTTTTGCTCTGATACCTTCAAGAATATCCTGAATAATGGCAGGATTACTAGCTTCTGAAGATGTTGGTAAAGGTGGGCATTGTGCATGTCCATAGTAGCCTATCAAAATCCCCAAAATAAATAAACTTGTAGCGGTGCAAAATAGCTTAAATATCCAGCAAAAGCTGCAACAATTGGTCTTTGGTGGATGCTGGGTCCGGTGAGGAATATAATCTGGATCTTCCTGGAGCCTTTCAAACCTTCCTTTGGGAGATGCTGATGGCTGAATGCACTCCAAGTCAGCATTTTGCATACTCTCAGTTGGTTGACAGACTGCTCCATCTAAAGTAAAATGGTCAAAGCTCAGCTCCTCCAGTTCTTTCTCCATGTCCCATTCTAACTCCAGGGAAGTGGCTTGAAGCTCTTCACTATCTAAATACTGTGCATTCTGGTCTGCATGGACTTTTTGGTAAGCCATCCTTTTACTTATTGCATTAAATATGGACAATTCCAAGGTCTACAAACTAAAATGAAAGCTTGAAGAAGCAGGATATATTCAGCCTTGAGAAGAAAAGACCAAGGAAGAAGAATAGGATAGCCATGGTCAAATGCCTGGAAAAAAAATAACACAGAGAAAGGTCAAAATAGGATATAAAATAAGGAAGATTAAGTTTACTCCCCAGTTATTTCTTTTGGGTATTTTTGTGGATTTTGATGTTAAAGAAACTATTTTAATGTTGAATTTAATAACAGCAGCAAGATTATTGGTGGGTCAATATTGGAAGAAGGATACTCTGCCTTCTTTAGAAGAATGGGTATTTAAGGTTTCTAACTTAGCAGAAATGGCCAAAATTTCTGCTTATTTAAAGGACCATTCACAAGACAGATATTTCAATGTATGGAAAAGATGGATAGAATATGTTCAGAAGAAGCATGGAACTACAAAGTTTCATTTATTTTATGAGTAATGAATTTATTTATAAACTTATGTTAAAGTTTGAAGAGAGTTAAGAGTTAGTATGATTTTGGTTTTTGTATAATTAGTAAACTTAAATAGATTATGTTTAGTATATTTGTATAACCCTGTAGTTAGCTCTGGGAAGTCAGGGGGGAGGGGGGTGGGGGAGGGGGGTGGGGGAAGGATGGGTTGAAATTTTAGTAATTCAGATAAGTAGAAATAGTTTTTATTGTATATAATATTGAGGTTTCAATTTGGAGAGAGGAATTGCTCGGGCATTTCCCCGGACCGCATCCGGAGTGAGAGGATAGAAGAAGGTGAGAAGTAAGTAGGAAGGTGGAGGAGAGGGGGTGAGGGAGAAAGAGAAAGAAGAGGGAAAGAGGCAAGTTGGTTAGAGGGTGGATGTGGTTTGGGGGGAAATGGGTGAGCAATACCGAAAATGGTGTGTATTAATTTGTTTTATTTTTTATCTGAAGTATTTTTAAGATTGTATTGTATTGCAAAATTGAAAATAAAATTTTTTTACAAAAAAAAAACAGGATATAAAATAATAATAAAAAATTACGCTACAAGAAGGCAGATTTTTGTTGAGGTAAGGGGAAAAAAACCCTTCCTAAACAAAAGAGCAGTTTATTTGCTCATCAGATCCATACAGCCATCTATAAAACTATAAAACTAGTTAAAACAAATAAAACAGTCATTAAAAACAAATAAATACATAAATACATAAATTAAATAAATTAATTAATATAAATAAATCAATTATCGGATATACAGGATCTAGTCTAATGAAAAGAAGGATTAGGGGAGACATGATAGCAGTGTTCCAATATTTGAGGGGCTCCTATAAAGATGAGGGGGTCATGTTACTTTCCAAAGTACCAGAAGGCAAGACAAGAAACAATGGATGGAAATTAACCAAGGAGAGAAGCAACCTTGAACTAAGGAGAAATTTCCTGACGGTTAGAGCAATCAACCAATGGAATAGCTTTCCTCAAAGTTGTGGGTGCTCCATCACTGGAAGCTTTCAAAAAGAGACTGGACAACTGCTTGTCTGAAATGGTATAGGGTGTCCTGCTTGAGCACTGGGTTGGACTAGAAGATCCAACCATTTCAGGGATGTGTTAAAAGAGAATGTGTAATCAGTTATTGGGATGATAATAATTTGGATTCCCAAATGGAACAGATTTTAGAAAGAGTGGCCAAAATGACTCTTCCTACTCTAAGATTCTAAATGTCAATGACATGTTTCCTTTCATATCTGAGTCATTTCAGGCAGCAAAAGGGACAGCATAAAATTTAATAAATAAATAAAACATTTTTTTAAAAAAGCCTTAATATATAGGTGGAATATAAGCACCACTAAAAGATATGTGTCAGGATCAATGGTGGGATTCTGCTGGTTCGCACCACTTCGAGAGAACTGGTAGCTAATTTTTTGTTGCCCAGGGCCAGAATGGACTTCTGAAAGCGGCATCCACACAGAGAACCAGTTGTTCATATATCTGAATCCCACCACTGGTCAGGATCCTTTCCTGAATGGATGGATTTCATTTTTACAGAATTGCCAAACATTTAATTGACAATATATACAGTATCTGGAAACACCCAATTACTTTATTTTAAGCATTTGCTAATTCAGATATCAACCAGTTCCCTTCTGCTATTGTTGTGACCAATAATGTAATTTCATCTACAGTATTTTTCTTATTTACTGAACTAATCAACCATTTTTTTCTTTCCTTCTTGGTCCATTTCCTTATGTCTCACATGCTTTAAATTGTGAGTAAAAAGAGAAATACTCCTTTGAAATGATCTAGATTCTATTCATGGAGGAGGAGGAGGGAGGAGGGAGAGGAGGAGAAAGGGAGAAGTAACAAGTACGGGTATATTGTACTGGTAAAAATAAACAATCTTATTTAAGGCCTCTACAAATATGAAACATTGTCTTATGACAGAAATTTCAGAATGACATTCCTTTATCTTCAATTCCTCAATAAAATGCTGTCTTCTGGATATGGTTCTTTTTTTGTTTTGTTTTTGTAACCTGCATATAGGCATATGGTTCTTTCTGACTGATCAGTACACCTGGAATTTATTCTACAGATCTGATTTTGGGGGGGTTCATACTTTTCCCTCTTCTTTCACCTGCGTCCTATTTTAGATGTATTGGAACCATGTCTCAACTGATATCCTTCACAAAAATGGCTTCTGTAACGACAAAGTGGAAGGGTGGCAGTTTTAGCCTGTTTCTATCTTAACAGACATGCCCTCAACGTAGAACTTTGACCTCTAATCTAAACATTCAAAATCAATTCTCAACAAATCATTTCTAAATTGACTTCAGGGCTGAGGCCTTGTTTTCATTCATAGTTTTGACTATAGAGATTCCATCACATAAGCAGTGGCAATTTAACGCTTTTCAAACAGAAGACAGACCCGTCAATTAGAATGTACTGTAAATACAGATATTAACTCCTCAAAGGGGTGCTTATCTGAATGACACCTGCAACACAATCTCCATCTCTTTTTTGTAAACTAGTAATAGTTTCCCTCATCTAAGATCCATCTTCCAAGTAGCTTCATGAATTAGATAAACTTTGTTGGACACTAGCAGCACAAAAAGGGAGAAGTAAACTCTTCTCCAAACAGGAGAGAAAAAAGATTACAAAGCATATCAAAAATAAACAGAGATGACCAACTAAAATGAAGGTGGAAAAAGCATCCAAAACTGTCTCAATGCATAGCACCTAATTGGACAATTCTAATTCTTTACAAAGAATTCATTATTTCAAATTCTGTGTCCTCAAACACTCATATACAACAACTGAACAGATCTACAGATTCGCCACCAGCAACATAATCATTGTTTCAGGTCTAAAGTGCTTTATAGAATTGCAGGCTAATTGTGTTCACAGCCTGGAGTTCAGTCCTGACGGCTTCAAGGTTAACTCAGCCTTCCATCCTTCTGAGATAGGTAAAATAAAGATCCAGATTGTTGGGGGCAATATGCAAATAATGCTTACCTTGTAAACCACCCAGACAGTGCTGTAAAGCAGGGGTCTACAAAATTGGTTCTCTTATGCCTTGTGGACTTCAACTCCCAGAATTCCTCAGCCAGGCATGCTGGATGAGGAATTCTGGGAGTTGAAGTCCACAAGTCATAAAAGGGCCAGGTTTGAAGACCCCTGCTGTAAAGCATTATGGAGCAGTATATAAACCTAAATGCTATTTAGATCACATAATTCATTAATGTTGGGGTTTCCTTTTCTCTTTGCACATACAGTACATGTGGAAGGCAAAGACTTTGTTTTTGAACATTTTTCACTTTCACTGAGAGTGATTCTTGGTGGTTTAGGTTTTGCCATTCTTTCATGTTGTTTCCTCTCTATTTTTTGTCATTGTTAGATTGATCCTTTTTATGTATAGTTTACTTATACATAAATTGAGCCTAAAATTGTTATTAAATGAGACATTTGTTAAGTGAGTTTAGCCACATTTTATGGCCTTTCTTGGCATTGCAGTTGATAAGTTAGTAAACTGGTTGTTAAATGAATCTGGCTTCCCCATTGACTTTGCTTGCCAATAGGTTGCAAAAGGTGATCACATGACCTTGGGACACAGCAACGGTCATAAGTACGAACTAGTTGCCAAGCATCTGAGTTGTGACCACATGACCATGGGGATACTTCAAACGTCGTAACTGGAAAGTCACTTTTTTCAGTGCCATTGTAACTTTGAACGGTCACTAAAGTCAAGGATTACCTCTATATCAGTGGTTCTCAACCTATGGGTCAGGACCCCATTTGGGGTCGAACGACCATTTCATGGGGGTCACCAAACAATGCAGTCCGCCATTTTTCCCCCTTTTCCTTAGCTGTGCTACTCCCTTTTATTCTATTGGCTTTTGAAAGGCAATAGAGTAGACTCTCTTGAACAGAGTCTAATTCTATTGGCTCTCAAAAGCCAATAGGAATTGTCCAGGCTGTCTCTGCCCTGCTGAGCCCGCCAAAAGTCCCATTCTGGAAACGGTGCTGTACCAGTTGAGTAGTCCTCGACTTACGACCGGTTGAGTAGTCCTCGACTTACGACCGTTTGGGGGTCGCAGCATTAAAAAGGTTGAGAACCACTGCTCTATATGATTGTAAACTGGTCTGGGACTTGAGAGTTGAATTTATGAAAAAAAATGTTTTACTACTTCCCAATTCTGCAGTGCGTGTGTGCTTAAGAGTGCATGCTATAGTAGATATGTGCCAGACATGCAAACTTCCAAATTGCCTCTTTTATCAGAGTCAGAAGTAGAAATCAGAATTCCATAACAGCTGCCTTTAGATCTGTGCATATTAAATAGAACGCAACATGTAAAATCAAATGGTCTAAAGGTACATGCTAAATGAAACAAAATAAATAAACATCAATTAGCAGGAAACCAAGTGTGGCATATTGATAACTGCTTTAAGGAAAATTTCAGGCACTAGGATGCATGCAAATCAGTAATGTTAACCAATCTATTATGCAAGCATTTTATAAAAATTATATTAAATTCCATGAAATGATTGTTAGCCTTAATCAACAACCTTTTTTTTTAAATTGGATTGGGTTTCCCAAACCGGATCAAGATTTTCTAGACAGTTCTTATTTCCACTAGGAAAAT